TTTTACACCTCTTGACCTTTGACCTTTGACCCCCAGCTTCGACATCCTAACTTCCCACTCGTTTTCGGAATAACCGCCCACGTCCCGAATATCGTGACCGTACGTCGAGCGGTTAAGATTTGTGCCCAACTGTTGACGGACGCTCGGACGGACGGACGGACGGACGGACGGACGGACGGACGATCAAGCGATTCTACAAGCTGCATCTGACTATGTCAGATGAGCTAAAAAACTAAAGATATTAAATAACATCTGCTCCTACAAATCGAAAAGGTTCTGAGGATCTCTATATAGACACTCGTTCTCTGCGTATTTCGCGTCTTCGCTCCGTTGCCATCACATCTGCAAACACTGCCATACGATCGAGCTCCCACATAGATAATTTGTGACGTATATATTATGTGTGACTGCATGGTTCCTTACACCAACCACAGGCAGGCACTTGCCTAAGAATAGCAAGATGTCGAAAGACTAGCTTATTACAGTATCTGGTTACAATAGTGTATTTGGTCCTCCTACCGAAATGTCTCGAAATAAATAATTTAGATATATTTTTCTTTATTCGAGTCATTCAAGTCATTTCAAGACGTTGCCTAAAGGTATTCCGTAGTAGCTGTACGCTCGTTTGAGTTGCCGCTGCTTTTGTTCTTTTCTGCGTATCTTCCAAATCTGTCTCAATAGTAATTAATGCGCCCTTAATTGTGCATATATTGAACACCCAACTGCTCTCTAGCAAACATGCACGCACATGGGAGCAGACTTATCGCGCTTCAGTGACGTAAATGAAGTGCTCACGTGAATATTACGTTCGATTATGTGACATGTGGTTTTGCTACGCGATGAGCGCTTGCTCAGCACCACCTGTTGTTCAGCTAGAGCCCACGCGCGCCGGTACAGATGCTCAGGGTATTTCAGACCTGGGTGTCAAGCGCGGTGTGGGCTGTGTGTCCGCATCTGTGTGTACCTTGGACACGCCTTGGCGACCACGACCACACAGCTAGCCGTCACGCAATGCGGCGAAGGGGGAAGGCGTAGACATTGTCGTAGGAATACTACGGTCGTTGTGTAATATACGTCGTTACTGCGTACTCTGTAGTTCTCGTGCGAGGAGTGAAGCTGGATTTACTGCAGGTGACGTCGGCAAGGTGTGCAATTTCACGGCTGGAGTAGGAAGAGAGAGATAATAGGAGAGTAGGAAGTTGCTAGACGAGCGCTTAATTCACGGGTACAGCCTACAGCCACAGGTTAGCCGCACCAACTCACCACAGCACAGGCATTCGGAACAGAGTCAGTAAAATCATATATATCATTATCAGTAATCTATATATAGGCCTATCACTATCGCAGATGGGGTCGTTGTCGTATCGATGGCAGGTACTATACAGATATGTACCGCGAGGTAGTTTAAGTTGTTTAGTATTATGTTTAATATTTTTATAAAATGACTATGAGGCTATGTTTAGGGTTAGGGTTAAGGGTTAGGGCTAGGGTTAGGTTAGGGTTAGGTATCACCTTCTGTAGTAGAACAAGTCTGGTACACTTGTGTGTTAGGCTCTAGTAGTAGTAGCTTAATATTATGCCCGCGTACATGTTGCCCGTCTGGTACGGTGCGCCAGGTGGCAACTGTACGCGGGCTATAGTCGCTAGAGCTAACTTTGTGTATACATATTATGTACCTCGGGTTAATATCTATAAGTAGCCTGATGACGACAACTGACCGGCTGCAGGATCACTAATCAGTATATTCGGTGAGCGCCACGCACCTTCGCACGGCGAGTGGCGGAGGCACAGGCACTCTGGAACGATCTCAATAAAAAATAGGTAATAAACACGAATGTATTTACTACCAAATTCTTAATGTTCCTTTACTCCTCTTTCACCTATTATTTGCCGATATACTTGCTGTAAATGCCGTTTGAAATCATTTAGTTCAAATGCTCCTGGCTCGCAACGACAAGTGCACGCACGGCCACTGTGGCACAACAACATAAGAATAATACTATTATATCGGCGTTTTGAACGGCATTTACAGCCAGTTACTCGGCAATACTACTATTGATAGGTAAAAAAGAGTAGAAGATACATTAAGACATTTGTAAGTAAAATACATTTCGTGTTCATTTAGCAGCTTTTTTATACGTAGTCCAAGTGCCTGTTGGGCGGGAGCGGATAGCTCTACGTCAGTTTTTGTGAAAGCAAGTTGATATATACAGTCACAGTGACACAACAGTGGAAGTGTAATAAAGGGGTAGTTTTTGGTGAATTTCTTTTAAATGCATTTTAAAAAAGCTCTTCATATTATTTTTAGTTTTTACTGACTGTCCCAAGTGCCTGTGCTTTCCACTACGTGACGAGACCAGCCGCGTATAGAACAGCCGACCCAATTAAGCTAGGATATAAGAGCTGTCACATTTGGGCACATGTCGCACATTTGCGAAATGAATGGGGACAGCTCTTATAAGTTATATCCTTGAACCGAACAACCTGCAGGCTGTAGCTGTCGTAGGGCCTAGCCGGGCTATATAGGATCAAGAATGATAGGATACGTGTTAGCAGGAGTAAATAATAATAGAGTAGTTTTAATAGATTATTATTTAATAGATCTATTATTATTCACTCCTGATGTTAGATAGTACTGCTAAGGAATATTTAAACGGCATTTACGTATAATTATTAGGTGGTACGAAGTACACAAAATACAGACTTAGGTAGCAAATACAATTTGTTTTTATTCACCATCATTTATGAATATATTATTGAACCGGAACTCTGCATATGAACATGATATGCTCCACATGCTTAGTGATCATGCCACGGTAACTCTAGTAGTATAGCCCTTGTTTCCACAGCCGGTTGCAACGAGGGCTATATAGTACTAGAGCTAATGCCACGGTAGCTCTAGAACTATAGCCCTTCGCTCTGCCACCTGTGGCAGACCGAAGGCCTAAGGCTATAGTTTCAGAGCTAATGCCTCTCTCGCTTCTCTCACTTTCGCAGACAGCGTCACACACCATCATACTAATACTGCAGCCGCCATGGGATCGAAGACTACCGGTGCGCTGTGCCTGCTCGCTCTAGCGGCTGTGCTTATTTGGTATCGGCATCCTCATCGTTACTTCATCACGAAACCTGACAATGCGGCACCGGCCTACCTGGCCGCCATCGCCGAGCCCGATAGCGAGTGGTCGGATAAATTGATGAAGGAGGTGAACGGGGAAAACATACGAGAGAATCTCAGGTAGATACGCAACATTCTCTCTTCTCTCTGTGTCTCTCTCTGTCCTCTCTCTTCTCTCTTTGTGTGTTGTGCTCTCGTGTCTCTTGTCTGGCTGCTCTGCTCTCTGCTCTCTCTCTTCTTCTTCGCTCTCTCTGGCTCTTCCTCTGTCTCGCTCTTCTTTGTGTCTCTGCTTGTCTCTGTCTCTGTCTTCTCTCTCTCTCTCTCTCTCTTCTCTTTCTTCTATCTCTCTCTCTCTCTCTCTCTCTCTGTCTCTGTCTCTCTTTCTTCTCTCTCTGTCTCTGTGTCTCACTCCCTCTGTGTGTGTCTTGATATCTCCCTCCCTCCCACCCTCTCTCCCCATCTCTCACTCTATCTGGCTCTCTCTCTGTCGAGCACGCGCTTTCACTCTCCCTCTTTCTTGATCTCTCTCTCTCTCTCTCTCTCTCTCTCTCTCTCTCTCTCTCTCTCGCTCCCTTTCGCGCTCTCTCGCGCTCTCTTGCTCTCTCTCTCACTCACTCAATGTTAAATACTCTTGAGCTGGCATTGCCATTTGTCTGACCGGTTCTAAACAGGATGTTTGAGTAGAATTGACCTTGCCTAGAACGATACGTCTTCTTATAATAGGTCGCCCGCCGTAACCACTCTACTTCACTTCTGTACTAATTATATTATCATTAGGGGAAATGGACAGGGAAAAAAATCGAATTCTTTCGTATCATTAAAGCCTGAGTTCGCGCACCGTGATAACTGTCGCATTTCACGAAGTTATTTGCAGGGGCTTTCTACGTAAAAGATTGGGGATTTTTTGCATAACGCTCGAGAAGTGTTACGCGCACGGTTTTCTCATTCTATATAAGGGATTTTGTCTATAAAATAGATATGAGCTCGAAATCTCATGTGAAACAACAACACATGCTTGTGGTAAAGTATTGGGGGTAGCCTACCCGGATATACCCTGAATGCACTACATTACTCAGGGGCGTACATAGCTATTTACTTATTTTGCCTGAGGGTAGGGAAAACCCACGTACCAGTTATATTCGTGGCAGGGGCTCGTGTCTTTCAGTTCTTCATTGGCGATGTAATAATAGCAGGATAATAGCAGGAGTGTATAATATAGAAACATAGGGCCCACGGGTATAAGAGCTGTCCACATTTGCACATGTCGCACATTGCGAAAATTAATTGGGGACAGATCTTAAATCCTTTTACCGAAATATAGTTTATATTATACACTTCTGGTGATATCTACGATGTTATGGAGGATGGGCAACTACATGCCCCTTAACCCCTTCCCCTTTGCTAGCTACGGCCATGACACTATAAACCTGTGAAAAATGCGTGTGATATGCTAGCACAGGAATACCATGCTATCCAGCTTGTCATATTGATGACACACAACGTTTGATCGTATCCGAGGTATTTTCTAGTCACATATAATCAGGTGTAATATATATAAGTTCATGTACCTCTCGTGTTGTTTCTAAATAGTAATAATCACAGGCACTTAGAACGTTTCAATGAACAAAATTATGGTAAATAAAAACGAAATATATTTACTACCAAAGTCTATTTCTTCTGTCTTCTGTTTTTCGACTCTCTTTTGCCTATTATTGCCAATAATTTCCTGTTACTGCCGTTCGAATGCTTCTCTCTAACACACAAGTATACCGCACGCACGCTGCTGTGCACAAACAACAAAAATAAAGAGTTATTCTTCCTCTTTAGCAATGTCTAGCATCTCTCTTTATTCTTGTTGCCTGTGCACAGCCGCGTGTGTGCGTGCGGTGTGCGTGTGTGTTGCATATAGGAGCGTTTGAACGGCAGTTACAGGAAATTATCGGCAATAATAGGCGAAAGAGAGTAGAGAAACACATTAGTGAAATTACATTAGTAAATACATTTCGTGTTTAATTACCATTATTTTACTAGTGAAACGTTCCAAGTGTCTGTGGTAATAATGTTCACTGTGATAGAAATGGCTATAAGTACAGCCAGTAGAGTACTCTCTAAGAACAAATACGTTCGATCCCTGGCCAGTGTTGCTGTGTGTTGTTGCCGTGGACGCGTTGCTACAACGTCGCAAAGCATCTCAGCTCCTGCTGCGTCTGCGACTGTGACGTACATCATCGTCATCATGCGCTTTTTAGCGCGATTGTGACTTCGTGAATGTACTGTGTGCTAATGGAGCGCAAGGGTCATAAATGTCACATCTTTACCCTGAATTAAGTTTACGTGGCTACAGTGTAGTTGTATCGTAGCTGTTAGCTCTAGAACTGTAGCCCAGAGCGAATTCTAGAGCTACGTAGTTGTAGTTACGCATTATGTGAATGCAGTGTGAGCGATAGGCTGCTCTGTTGGGTTACATTATTGTATCGAAGACGCAGCGAGGGCTAGGAGAGAGTTGGATGCAAATGCACTTTAAGCACCAAGCATGACCCTAAAGGCCTAAACCCCGACAGGAACAAACCTTATAGCTGCGGTTAGGATATGACTACATCAGGCGCGGAGTGTGTTTTCAGGGGCGTAGCCAGCTAAAAAAAAGTGGGGGTTCTCATTACTACAGCTGTGGAACTTTATACTACCGAAACATAGCGCGATGGACCTAAAGGATGGAGGTCTTGTGGTCCTCCCCCACAACATTTTTTGAAATTTTAATGGCTCCATGTGCGGTTTCCCAGAACTTTGAAATAGTATTATTATACATGAACTAATGGTTTTTGAGTAACTTTTCGCTACATAACTGACTTCTGGACCCAATTTCACGAGAAAAGCCAAATCTCAATTTAGCTGTCATTGATTTGTAAAACTTTAAATTAAAGGATTTAAATTAATTTAGTGACTCACTTAATTTGATTCGGTTTGAAACGGTTAATTTTATGGAAATAAATAAAAACTTTACACAATGCCAAATTAATTATTTCTCACTTTATTCTCACAGTACTGCGGGAATGATACATATGTGTGTGCTGGTTAATTATCCTGTAATTAATGAGTTTCTGGGAACTAGTTTTCATTGTGATTAGAAGCGTAGACAATTAAGGGTGTTCCATGTCTTGTTTATTTTGTACTAATCTTGGCAGTGTGAGAATTCTCACTTCTGACACACATGTTTGTGCGGAGTCTCGTAATCGGACCATTTCGAAGATTGATTGTTACATTGTGACAACATGTCCTACCCATGCCTCGTGTGGTTTGTTCGTTACTGTCTGCGATCTGTTGACCTCTGCTTTAATTATGAAAAATTTGTCATCCGAACTGGACTTGTGTGCGCATATATGTAGGGCCTACGTTTGTATCCACCAACAAAAAATTTGGCTACTGCACTCTGAATGAATGGGCATGTGCTGCACAATGCCGCGCAGCATTCGATAAAATTGGATCGACAGAACTTTTCATTGTTGCTAATTTTTTTAATTTGTCTTAACCACCACCGGTATTTAGAATTCGAAATAGAGTTAAAAAATTGTATACATTTCAGCGGAACACCCGAACCCGCGGGGAGTTCGTCCGAACCCCCGAACCCCCCCTCAGACCACGTACGTCCCTGGTTATGCAGGGTAGCTAGCTAGCATTGTACCATGACTGACAGAGCTGCCGATATAGCATTGTGCTGCATGCAGCTGTGGAATAATGGGGACGGCGTAATTTATAAGTGCGAATGAGGAGGAGGAGGGTTGACAGGGCAGTAAACTGAGCAAATTTCTAAGGGGGGTGGCAAAATTTCATGTCTCAACTGTGTAATGATAAGCGACCGGCGCAGCTCTTGATCGACGATTATTAACTAAGCTTATTTTTTAATTTTGCTCCACAATCTTGGGGAGCAGCTGCTCTAGAGGCTACGTCCCTGGTTGAGGAGAAAGCGAAGAAGGGGGTAGATTTAGGCCACTTAAATTACGCGAGGATGAGGGGATGAGACGGGCACGTCTCTTAAAATATATGAGGAGGGGAGGAAGGTACGTCAGGTATTTTGTGGAAAGGAAGTGGCGAATGAAGAGGAGAGGTAATAAAATATGATTCGTCTAATGTATGAGGAGGGGAACATGCCATGTCTAGCATTTGAAGTTGAAGAGAAGTAGGTGGAGGAGGGGATGGAGAGGACGCGGAGGATATGTCAAGTTAATCTACGTCCGCGACTGATGAAATTATTTGGATGGTTTCAGATTTCTAACTGCGAAACCGCATTTAGCAGGTACCGATCAAAGCTACCAGTTGGCTAAACACCTCCAGCGAAAGTGGCTCGCACAAGGTTTAGACTGGGCGAAATTGACACCCTACAAGGTTTTGCTCTCTTACCCCGACACGACGGACCCGGCTCGCGCAAACAAAGTGACCATAGTTAACAGGAACACGAAGCAAGTAGAGTATACGACCCAGATCGAGGAGAAACCGCTCGTATCGAGCCAAGACTTCGAGCACGTCGTACCACCTTTCAACGCATACTCTGCGTCTGGTAATCCTTCCGGCGAGCTCGTGTATGCTAACTACGCCACAGTGGAAGATTTCGATTACCTCACGAAGACGCGTCGGCTGAACCTGGTCGGTGACATCATCATCGCTCGCTACGGCAAGATCTATCGCGGAGACAAGGTGCTGAACGCTGAGAAGGTGGGCGCCGCTGGTATCATACTGTTCACGGATCCCGCCGACGTGGCGCTGGACGGCTGGAACAGCGTCTATCCGGACACGTGGTGGATGCCACCGAACGGTGTTCAACGGGGAACCGTGCGGAAGTCGTCGGGCGATCCACTCACACCCGGATACCCGGCCACCGATGATTCGTACAGGATTCCGCAGGAGGAGGCAATCATGCCGACTATTCCTGTGCACCCGATAGGGTACAGGGACGCGTATGAGCTGCTTAGTCGCATCTCTGATGACAGGCGTACGGCAGCGCCACCTGCTGAATGGAAGGGCGGATTGAATATCTCGTATAACATACGTGATACGACAGCCAACTGGTAGGAAACTTCTAATACATAGTTTCACTTTAACATGCTGTGGTCGTTACTGTCATATTTCACTGTGTTTGGCTATCAATTATACACATTCTGAGATTGTGGCCGTGAATATAATCAAAAGTGGATGTAAAAGGAGCATGACTGGAGTCGTTATTATGTAGGTCTACGTTATATAAGTCTGTATTTATGTTTGAGATCATTCTACGGTATTCGCCTGTTTGCCATCCAGCTTGTCAGTCAATTACTGCGTTTTCCACTGCACCATTGAAATAGCAAACTAATCAATTAAGTGGTAGCAATAACACTTGGTGAGATGAGCCTACCTGCATGGCTTTACCGCGACTCCATAGCGCCAGTGGTGTGTGATATAACCGAAATTGCGTATGTGTATTAAATTTTGTTTCTTCCTGTAGGAAAGTAGAGATGTTAATCACTACATCGAACATACAGAAGGTTATTTACAACACGATCGGCATGATCAGAGGAAGCGTGGAACCGGGTAATACCTTAGAAACACGTGTATGCAGCGTCCCCCCTGATCTCACCACAGCATTAAATTTTGCAGTAAACGTAAAACTAGCACGCCCTCCTGCGTACAGAAATGACATTAGTAGTAATGTCATTGTCCCCTGTTATGGGAGTACATAGATGGAATTTAGAACATTTTGAGGAAGGATAGTGTTGTGTTGGAGGTACCCACAACTTTTAGGACACTGAGGCAAACATTTTTAAATGACGCATACCATAGCATCTTAATCTTGATTAGCACTATCTGGGACAGGGACGGAGTTATGGCGACAGTATGGAGGCAAGATAGGAAGAGCAGTCACAGTGTTTGTTTACGTGAACATTAATTGGCCACTTTTCGAGACACCATGGCAGGCAATGCGGAAAACCATGACATCGTCGTTAGCGTGATCAATTTCCAATTTAGAGATTTACTGTCGTCGTCGACAAAATCATTCACGCAGTGCACTAAACTCTAACACTCAATCTAACTCTAACCCACTCTAACACTCAATCTAACTCTAACCCACTCTAACACTCAATCTAACTCTAACACTCAATCTAACTCTAACTCTAACTACGCATAAAGAAACGAAATCTAACACTCACCCCCAAATTTGCTGCGAAGATCGCTACGTGCTCGTCGGTAACCACCGGGATGCATGGGTGTTTGGAGCGATTGACCCATCCAGCGGCACAGCGGTGCTTCTAGAGCTGAGCAGAGTGCTGGGTGAGATGGTGAAACAAGGCTGGAGACCACGGCGGTCCATCGTCTTCTGTAGCTGGGATGGAGAAGAGTACGGTCTCATAGGATCAACAGAGTGGGTCGAGGTGAGATGTGTCGAAGTAAGATAGATGGAGATTATATATATATATATATTAAGCCCAGTGCACACGTATGGGTGATTGTCGGTGCAGTGGCTGGATAACATGTGTGCTAGCTACCTGTTTTGCGGTTGTTTTGCGACATGACTTGGTGGATATGGCAAGCCATTCCCTTCAAAACTAAAGTATTGATGTAACTTTGAATAGAAACAATACTTCCATAAATAGAAAACACAAACAAGAATATAAGTAATGTAAGTCTGAATAGAAACAATGCTTTTTGAAATGAAACCAATACTTTCATAAACGGAAAACACAAAGAGTAAAATGAAAAATTCGCTATAGCAAATGCGCAGTACTTTGAATCAAAACAACGCAACTTGGAACAGATACAACCGTAACGTACGCACGTACACACAATGTCCGTTAACAGATAGAATACTCGATATAGCACGTGCGCAGTACTGGGAATTGAACGAACGCAACTGTGAATGGAATAAATGAAAAGGCTTCCGGATTTCACCACTTAGTGGCGTGCAAGGTTGCAATACAATCTCCAAGGCACATACACGTGAATGCGTGTGTACGTACACGTGCGTGCGTGCGTGCGTGTGTGCGTGTACACGTACACGTGCGTGCGTGCGTGTGTGCGTGCGTGTTCACGTACACGTGCGTGCATGCGTGCTTGTGTGCACGTACACGTGTGTGCGTGCGTGCGTCTGTGCGTGTTCACGTACACGTGCGTGCGTGTGCACGTACACGAGCGTGCGTGCGTGCGTGTGCCTTGGAGATTGTATTGCAGCCTTTGTACACGCACGCCACCAAGTGGTGAAATACGGAACCGAAGCCTTTTCATTTATTCCATTCACCGTTGCGTTCGTTCAATTCACAGTACTGCGCACGTGCTATAGCGAGTATTCTGTTAACGGACGTGTTGTATCCGTTCCAGGTTGCGTTGCTTATGATTCAAAGTATTGCGCATTTCCTATAGCGAATTTTCCATTTTACTCTTTGTGTTTTCTGTTTATGGAAGTATTGTTTTCATTTCAAAACTCATTGTTTCTATTCAGACTTGCATTACTTATATTCCTGTTTGTGTTTTGTGTTTTCATTGTAATTTTGAAGGGAATGGCTTGCCATAGGTGGACCCAACACTATCTGGATTCTTTTTAGATGCTTAAAAGGAAAGCTATCAGCGGGGGGGGGGATTTCCAGTTTCACGGGTAAAAATAGGGGCAATGCATTTCCCATTTCACGGCCAATTAAAATATTTCGGCACAATTTCGGCTTTCTTTTCCATCCCGGTTGAATTCTATTCCTGTCTGGCGAAAGATTTACTTGGTGTTTCTTGATTCTCAGATAATTATAATGGTCTAATCTTGCATCCCGAAAATAACCATTCTCTCTCAATTAACGATGCGTTGAGAATGGATGCCAAGTTCGATTTTAGGCTAAGAAATTATTCATGAGAGCCGACTTTGATATATATCACGTCTTTTATAGATTAGTTGGAAACTAGATTATGTTCGGGATAATAATTATTATTGAAGTCATTTGTACTGAATCATTCAATTTCATTTAATGTCTTTGCTACGTGGTAGGTTTTATGTATCTAACATGCGAATTATTCCAGGAACACCGTAAGACATTGTACGATCGGGCTGTAGCTTACATCAATGTTGACATCGCCGTGAAAGGTATGGATGTATAATATGCTAACTCTATTATATATGCAATGTGTAAAGATGGCCAAGTTTTACAACAATTGTGGACTCTGCTTCACTAAGCATACTAATTATCTTTGCAGGTAACTACTCTATAGCTGTCAGTGCATTCCCCTCGGTGAAGCAAATAATGTACGAAGCAAGTAAAAAGGCAAGTTTTGTGTGAAGCTGTGGCAGCAAATATTATAATTAATAAATCAATCCTAGATTTTCACATATGAGTGAAGTGACGTCTAGCAGAACCATAACGTACACTAGATCATTCACCATTGTAATTCAAGCCAGTTGGGGTGCACAGAAAACGAACACGAAAATAAACTAGACCGTGGGTGAGCCATATAACTGGTAATAACCTGATATCCAGATAGGGGGGTTCCACCTGACGCTTATGGTCACTGCTAACCAGTGGCGGCATTAGGGTTGGTGTCACACTGTGCGGTAACTCATGGTGTCACCCCATGGCCCTCCTCCCGTACCAGACCATACAGAATCCTTAGTAATGTTTTTTTGTACTAATATTACTCGTAAATCGCAATTCCCGTATATCACTGAATGTAATGGCAATAGTAGTCACATAAATAACTAGCAAAATTAAAATCACCCCCTTTGATGGTGTCACCCGGTGCGTTCCGCACCCCCGCACTCCCCTTGTGACGCCACTGCTGCTAACACAGGTACCGCAGCCCAAGGAGACTGCCATATGCAAGGAATGCAAGTCAGTCTACGACCAGTGGGTTAGAGCTTCACCGATGGAGGAGAATGTCAATCCTGATCAAACGCAGCCAAAGTTGGTAGCAAATGATATCGAAATAATATAATTAATATTCCGTTTAAGATATGATTACATGCGTAGATGGTTCGATACGTAGATGGATGGATGGGCTTGAATTGCTTGGGTGGGGTTGAGCGGATGGATGGATGAACGAATAGATACGTGGATAGATAAACGCTTTTGACCCTCCTTTCATGACCCTCCCATATAAAATGTTAAAATTTTGTACTGCACATTATGCGTTTAGGTCTACGAGTTGTTAGCACTTATGACACACTATTCGGCTTATTGCATCTCTTAGAATAGGAGTTCTGGGATCCGGCAGTGATTACGATGCATTTGCGTATCACGTGGGAGTCCCGTCTGTTGATCTAGTCTATTCGTTTAATAAGGTAAGCAATGCCGTACTAATAATCGGCTTGTGTCAAACATACATTGCCAAACTGATTTGAAGTTTTGTATTTTGATACTATATTGTGGCCGCGGTTATATTGTAATGCTTACGAGTAATGTGAGAAGTGAAATACTAAATGATGCCATTTTGTTTGTAGAAAACCAACAACATATCGGGATACCCATTGTACCACTCTGCGTACGAGTCTTTCCATGTCATGAATACGATAATAGATTCAAGCTTTAAGGTGCGTCTATAACACAGTGACCGAAACCCATGCACCGGCGCTCCCGTTTTTCCCGTTTTTTTGTTTTGTTTTTGTTTTAATTTCTGTATTGTAAATTACATGTAAGCTTCATAACAATCACGAAACCATAACTGTTGGTATTATGATGACAATACAATTCTTTCTTATCAGCACATTGGATGCGTCATGTTTGTTTTGGAACGTGGGTGACGTCTGGTGTTGACACGTGCAGCTTATGATGTATGTGACACTGGAGATAAACATAGTTAAACCAACGGCTAGACGTACCAGGTGTTCTGTTTGTTTTAGCACCACGAAGCTATATGCCGGCTTGTAGTGGAAGTCCTGCGGAATCTGGCCGAGGCTGTGGTGTTGCCGCTGAGTGTTGTTGATCACGCTAATCACCTACGGGCAGCATTGAAAGACTTCAAGGAGGAAAAAGGACCGAAACTTGTTGAGAATGGCGTTTATCTAGGTGACACACTCAGTGATACTTCCCCCCCCCCCACCAACAAAACGCGATCAAAGCTCAGTAATACTTATCATCCAATATCACGCTTGAAAAGTAATGTTGATGTCCAAGTAGGACGTGTCACGATATAATATTTGACTAATACAGTTATTTTTATGGAATATTGCAATTAAAATATATAGAACTAGAAGTAGTATACCCACACCCGCCTATTGATTGAACATGCATTAATTTAAAAAGTGATACATGTTGTCTAAGTAAGTTCGATCCGCTGAAATTAGATTACGGAACGTAATACGCAGTACACAATCTTTTTTCATCAGATAAACTAGAAGCGGCTGTTGAGAATTTTACTCGGTCAGCTAATTCGTTCAAGGACCACGTCAATCACATTGATAAAAAGGAGTAAGTAACTATCGCCTGTGAAAACGTTTCACTCACACACATAGTCGGATTATGAGTACTACAACAGTGTGATACATACTTGAATTGCATTTACGAATATTGTAAATGTGAGCAATATATGGAATAACCTATCCATGCTTGACTCCTGCCGCTGAAGTAAATGGTTCGTGTTCTGGTTTTCTTGCAGTGCTATGATGGTGCGTAGAGTGAACGATCAGCTCATGAAATTCGAGCGAGCTTTCACCGATTCAGCTGGACTTCCTGGCCGAAGTCTAACCAAGTAAGCGAGCTAGTGTTCTTATACTAATATGTAAGACATCAGGCACGTCGCCAGGCGGAGACCCGGAAACTTGGGCTTCAACATCATTTCCGGATTTTTTTTTCAAATTGTGAAATTAAACAGTTGTAATGATGTACTTTTTACCGTGTTTCAATTGTTAAAATTTCATTTTAAATTACGCCAGCGTGCACCATTTTCCATCAAAAATGTTCGGGGGATGCACCCCGGACCTTCACACACTCTCCCCTTTATGGCGCTTTGCGCCTTCGTGACTGGGCTTCAACATTAGTCAATCACTGGCGACGGCCCTGTACATATAGCACGACACCTATACTCAGTCACACTACCACTAAGGTAGGTATGTTTATGGAGATCTCACCAAGATCTAACCGAGATTAAATGACTAGCAGGCTACGCTATGCTACAGGCTGCGTCTCGCGTTGTAACCAAACTTTTACTTGCCTATACTCAGTCACGTACGCTACTACTGTTGTGGGTACGTTTACATCTAGCTTCGAGTTGCGCTAAAGTTGAATTAATTAAAGTTGCCTATTTGGAAAATCTGTAGCACTTGTTTAACATACAACTACCGTGACGACGAAAGTTTATAGCGCAATGCATTGCACCTGAGCTGCATGCTTTTAAAATGAAACCGTAAACGCGTAGGATCACGTCTCCATTTGCTTGAACAAAATACGACTCAAAAAACGGCCTTTTACCCGCAGTTTTGTGTAATGCCAGTAAGCAGGTAGACTGGTTCCTGGTCTATTGAGTTCGTTAACAGAACAAAGTGAAGAGCGAACAATCCGTCTAGATAGAGGCAAGCTCTGCCACGCCGCGCGCAGCCTTTAACAAAACCGCATGATAACGTGAGAACATAATGAACCGATGCAAAGTGCTTTTAGTACTGTTTCAATTCATTTCCTCGCAGTGCCGGGAATATATTTACGGGAGTTTATACAATATACATCATATCAGGAGTGAACACAAACACGATCACACACACACACACGCACGCACGCACGCACGCACGCACGGCACACACACACACACACACACACACACACACACACACACACACACACACA